AGAAAGTTAATTAGCTACTAAATAGCATTTAGTGCAGTTCAACGTGAGGAAATTTATGTTTTGAAAGCAAACAGATCAATGGAAAGCCTGTGGAACAAGCTTTTGGAAAGTCCATGCTGACATCCGTGTACTTTGTACCGTAACGGCCTGAGTAGTTTTTCCCAGGTTTCCCCAACAAATAGGAAGAGTTGTTAGATTTGTTACCCCTGTGTTTGCGGATGAATAGAAATGCTTCCACATGTGAATGTTTGGACATCTAATTTCAGAAATCCTGGATAGGCTTTCATCCAGACTATCCAACACCTTGTTCCCTGGTCGCTGTGGTCAGTGGAAATGGATTCTGTTTGAGCTCTGTGAGGCACAGAAACTTCAAGTTCCAAATATTTTCAGCCAAAGGCTGAATTTAACACAATCCTTAATCTAGCTACTAGTCTGGGCTGATTAAGGTGAGTGTCCGTGGCTGGCTCTGTGTGGTTACACTCCGTGGGAAGCTGGTGCTGTCCCACAAGTGTCCTTCCAGCCCTGCTCTGCAAGGTTACACAGAGCGAGCAGAAACATTTTGACACCTTTTTTTTAATACTAAGTTACCGATCTGGTTTCCTCTGCGTGCCTTTTATGTCACTGAAGTCAGCAGGTTTCACAGTTCATAATATATGTATATCGTCAAGGGCAATTTTTGTATCAGAACAATGGATTTGGGTTCCAGCTGCCCGATATTACCTCACTCTATACAGCCACTGCACTAAATTTTTAGGCATTTCAGGATAGCTTTGAACTTTTATTGACGGATTATTTGTTTGAAGCTGTCTGTCTTAGCAGCTGATGCTGTCAGGAGCTGTTTCACCTTGCTGGGAAGAAGAGGAGCCCAGAAGGTCAGTGCCTGTGGGGAATAGCAGAGAAACAGAGAAATGCTAACCCCTGGGGAGGAAAAGGGGCATGTAATTCCCATTACATGGATGCTCATACATTATGATGATACTCATTGTCTGTAAATGATGCTTCCCAAGCTAGGAATGCTGGGGCTGTGGGAGAGCTGTTATTAGCGACAGCATAGGTTAGCACAATGGTGATGGAGAGCCAGCTCCATGAGGAGGGTTTGGCTCCTGCAGGAGGCTCTCTGGGAATCAGGTGGTGCACGCTGACAGCTTGGGTGACTGCCACATCATGGCTGTAACCTTCAGCCCCTTTCTCTCTTATAATTACATTTGTCACATCGCGTCGTAAAATGAGTTATTAGATCTTTGTTGCTGAAATCGGCTTCCCAGGTGATCAGGGCAGGTCTCTGCCCCCGCTCTGGAACAGAAATAATAATTGGGTTTAGCTCTCTTTGTGTGTTCCAAGAGCTGTAGGTGTGTTCCAAGGCATTAACCCAACAGCAAGTTGGGTCCCATTGCTGAACATCAGAAGTCTCCCTTGCAGCGTCTGAGCTCCTCTGTCGGGTGTGCAGGAGGTCCCACGTGGTGGGAGGGGGACAGTGGCTCCTTAGGGGCTACAACAGCTCGAGGAGTGCACATGTGCTTGGCTGCTGTAGTTGACTGTTGAGTGGAGAAAATACATCGGCACCTGGTCTTGCTCCCCAGCAAGAATGGGATGTGTTTTGAGACAAGAGTAATGGGAGTTTGGTGAGGGGGAAAGGCTGAAGTGGAATCCCATAATCATTTATGTTGGAAAAGCCCTCTAAGATCACTGAGTCCAACCCTTCCCCAGCAGTGCCAAGGCCACCACTAACCCATGTCCCCAGGTGCCACATCCACATAGCTTTTAAGTCCCTCCAGAGATGGGGACTCCAACACTGCCCTGGGCAGCTGTGCCAGGGCTGGACAGCCCTTCTGATGTAGAAATGCTCCTCAAAACCCAACCTGAATCTCCACTGGTGCAACCTGAGGCCATTTCCTCACATTCTGTCACTTGTTCCCTGGGAGCAGAGTCTGAACCCCCCTGGCTCCAACCTCCTGTCAGGGAGTTGCAGAGAGCAAGAAGGTCCCTTCTGAGCCTCCTTTTCTCCAGGCTGAGCCCCCCCCCAGCTCCCTCAGCTGCTCCTGGTGCTCCAGACCCTTCCCAGCCCTGTTCCCAGCCCTGGACATGCTCCAGTGCTTTAATGTCCTTCTTGTCATGAGGGCCCCCAATGAACACCTGAATATGTCCATTGGTTTCCTGCCTCAGGTTTTGCTAATCCTCCTTGGGTTTTCTCCCTGTCCCTTTTATTCCCATGGCCCAGTGCACTTGTTGTTTTGCTGAGCAGTGCTGTATATTAGCTGGCGCTCTGTTTTTCCTGGATCCCTCAACCTAAAGTCTCTCTGGAATGTTCCTCCGGCTATTTGCCTTGCAATGCTTCAGCTCCCTGCTTTTGCATGGCACTCTGGAATAAATTCCTCATCCAGCAGATAGAATAGACTGACAGATAATAAACTCTACCCTTGCATCTGTATATCTTGAGTGCCTGGGTAGAGGACTCCCCAAAATCCACAAAATTAGCAGACATCATAATGCTTGTTGTTACTGACATCCAAAATGATCTCAATATTAAAATTATTTTTGCAAGTAGTCCAGTGGGTTAGAGTACTTTCATTTTTTTTTGATCAATATATATATAAGAAAAAAGTAATTTTAAACACAGTGAGGTTTTTTTCTGAATTTCCCCGTTGACTCAGTAAGCACCAATGAACAAGGTGGTTCTCTCTCTGCGTCTGTCCTGTGTATGAATGCTCGTGTTCATCAGCCCCTGTGAAGGGCAGGGGGGCACAGGTGTCTCTTTCAGATTTCACCCTCTACATCACCGAGAACATCGGAATTTCCCCGGGCTGCACACTCTGAGCCACCCTGTTACCCTGGGTGCCTTGTTCTGGCTGGAAAGGGTAAATCCGCTTGCCCGAGTTGGTTCCGTGTCTGTGGGATGCGTGTGTGAGCTTGTCACCAGTGAATGTGAACTGTAAACATTTGTCTTTAGAAGCATTTTCTGAAAACACAGCAGTGCCAGCAGCGCTGTGCCCGGGCTCTGCAGCCCCTCGGGTCTTGGGTTACTGCTGCTGTGTCTGAGAGCTGGGTTACATAGCAGAAGGAATTGCAGTGGGCAATGGTGTTCTGCACTGAGGAGCTACGGAATTCCTGGGATCAAAGCAAGCCTGCCCAGCTCTACTGGTAACTCATTTCTTGGCAGTTCTCTGCTGCTGTTGGTTTGAGGTGATGCTCGTGAAGAATGAGCACCTTGGTCTCCATGGCAAGGACCCACAGGGCAAGGATCCTCCCACCAACCCACCCTCCAGCCCTTTGCCATGCTGACCAGCTCGTCTTTGCAAGAGTTTTAGAAAATGGATTGCCTTTGCTTAGTCTTTGAGTTAGTTTGAGTCATCTCTTCCAGGAAAATCCTGTGTGACCAGCTGTGGCTGTTATGAAGTGTTGCTCCATAAATACCAGCTGCTCCTAGCAGGCAGTCCAGCCCAAGTGTCTTGTACCAGGACTCCTGTTACATTTGCATTAACATGAGATGCTGAATGTTTTAAAAAGTGTTACATTTTGACACTTTATCCAAAAGTAATGCTTGATTTTTCACAAAGAACAGTACAATCTTCATGGAAAAATTCCCAAGGCAGGTGTATAGATGTGCCTGACACTGGAGGTATCCTGGTGTCTAACCTGGAAAACCTGCTGTGTATGCTCTCTGAGTGAGTTTGGGTGTGTAGTGTGATCCCTGTTGCCACATCACTTCTAAATCCTCATCCTCCAAATGGCCTGAATGTAAGTTCTGCTTTGCTGCTTTCTCTCCAAAAACTGGAGTGGCAGAACTCTGTGCCCAGAGCAGTGAAGTCACTCCTTCAGCTGAAGTCAACCAGCCTTGGTTTCATCCAGATGGTGCCGCAGGACCAGGAAGGGGCTTGGGGATTTGCTCCCAGTGCAGGCTCTGGAGTTTGAGTTACACATTAGAATGGGGTGGCTCAAAGGGCCTTGGTTAAAAATTTAACCCACGACTAACTGGGTTGTGCAGAGCCCTGTCCATTGGAATGGGGAGATGTGGCACACAGGGCTGGTCCCTGCGGAAGAGGCCCTGGAGCCAGGCTGGGAAGGCACACTGGTGTGGAGTGCATGCTGAGTGTGTGATTCCCAGCCTTCAGTGCCCACATTGTTGGATAAGCGGATTAGAAAACATGGCATAAAGTGGCCTTGCAGGGGGCTGCTTTGTACCTGCTCCTGGCCTTGTCTGGCAAGCCCTGATTTCACAGCGCAGCCCATTCAGCCCCGCGCGGGGATTGTTCACGTGCATTGGCCTTTTCACCAACCGAGGGGTCACAGTTTCACATTCACTTCATTCCCAAAGCAGTGGTATTTTTCTTTTGGGATTGGGGCTGGTGGGGGCATGTGGGCTTTTTGAGTTTAAGCTCAGTTTGCATTTAAAACTGGAGATCTGGGCTGGGTTGGGAAAGGGTGGGGTTCATTTACTGTACCTGTGGTGCGTTGAAGAGCTCAGGTGTGACTTCCCATCGTTAACTCCCCCAAGTTTCAAGATTGCAAGTGGAAACCATTTGGGGTTTATAGACACAAATCCAGGCTTGGCAGGTCCACTTGCAAAGATATAACGAGAAACTGGAGTTCAGGTGAAACATCTTTGGATCTTACCGGTCATGGAGGGAATTTCCCAGATGAGATCCCAAGTCCGTGCTGCTGTTGGAATGTACTCACACCTCCTGTCCCCATCCCAGTGAGGAGCAGCTGAGCTGAGGGCATTACTTGAGATTCTTAATTTTGCCTTCTCAAAAGTGTTTTGAGGAATGGGTTTGGCTCTGCCAAAGTTCTGTGTGCAGTTTGGAACAGACCAAAACCAGGATGTTTTTTGTGATGATGGGGAGTCAATTTAAATAAAAATAACCTCTTACAGGAGCTGTCGGTTATTGGCTCCTCGGGCCTGCCCTGAATCCCCATCTCAGAGCTCTGACTAAAGGTTTTGGATGTGGTTGTTGCATGTGCCTGCAGCCTCCCAGGGCTGACATGTTGCGCTCTGTCCACAGGGACACGTGTGACAATCGCATGACCTGCTCCACCAGCTCTGCCTCCAGCCTCGACACCAGTGCCCAGTTCCAGGAGAACAATGGGCAAACACAGAGCACCAGATGGGATGAACAGCAGAAGGTATTTGCCCTCGAGCAGGTCTGTGGTGTCTTCAGAGTGGACCTGGGACAAATGAGATCCCTTCGTCTCTTCTTCAGGTACTGGATCGTTGTGTGTGAGAGTTGTGTGTGTTCTGGCTCGGGGCTCTGGGGATGCTGGGGGCAGATGGCTTCTGCAGTCCTCCTTGGAAGCCTTTCCAGAGTGGTTGTCTCCAGGAAAGCAAGTGTCAGCCTTCCCAGGGAGAGACTCTGAATTACTGTTATGGGACCAAAAGGATTTTCTTCCTAATAAGGTAAAGGGTGCTCTTAACTGTCTTATCAAAAATGCTTCAAATAACCTGCAGGTGTGGAAAAAAATCTTTACCTGTGGTACCTTTTCCTTTGCCTGCCCCTCACCAGGCTTCTCTGGAGCTGACTTTGTGTACAGTCAGGAGCTGACTTTGTGTACTGCCTTAATGTTTCTGGAGCAGACTTCTTGTGTACTTGTCTCCAGGCAAGACAAATTTTAATTCCTTCACATGAAGGAAGGGTAAAAATAGTGCCGTTACCAGGTACTAGTGGAGCTTCTTGGGGAAAATGGTCACTATGGCCATGTCAAACAATCACAGAATATCTCAGTTGGAAGGGACTCATAAGGATCACTGAGTCCTAGGGCTGTAAAACTGCCTCTGTGCCCTGTTGGAAGGGGCAGATTGGTGCTGCACGCTGGGATTTGCTTTGCACTCTCTCACCAGAGGGTCCCTGTTCCTGCTGGCCCCTCGTTGCCCTGGGCAGCCCATGCAGGTTGTTCTCCCGTTGTTCCCTGCAGTGACGAGGCCTGCACCTGTGGGCAGCTGGTGGTTGCAAGCAGGGAGAGCCAGTACAAGATCTTCCATTTTCACCACGGTGGCCTGGATAAACTCTCCGAGGTGTTTCAGCAGTGGAAGTACTGCACAGAGACCCATCTCAAGGACCAGGTACCTGAGTGAGGTTCTTGGGGCAAAGAGGGGTTTTCCAGCAGATGTTTCCCGCTTGGGTTTGTGTTTTGGAGAAATGAAGCTTTGAGTTCATGTCACCAAGTCGTGCAGAAAGCTGCAATGTGTGGGATGTTTAGGATGGAACTCTGAGCCGGACGTGAGGTCTCTCCTGGACTTGCTTGTCCCCATCCCTTCCTGTTCCACCTGTGGAATGTGGGGGAAGATCATCCAGAAGACTTGCTCAGGTAGTGAATTTTGCTAGAGCTGACAGGTCAGCACTGCCCTTTAGGTGTGGAAGGTGGCTGGAAATCTGCAGTGGTAGGTCGGAAATTCAGTCAGATCCTTTCATCCGTCTTATGGCGCGCAGCTCACGGCTTTGGAGAATGTTTTGACAACGCATCTTGCCATATTTTGTTCAATCTACATACAAATGTGATAAGAGCTCTTTAATTATCTGTTTAAGATATTGTATGTGCTTATTAGAAACAGTGATTTTTAAATTTCCATCCTTCCCACAGAGCCCCCCGCTGCTTTTCTTATTATGGTCGCATGGGCTCACTTTTTGCATTGAGCAACCTTTGATTTTTAAATTAAATGTCAGCTGCAGTCTTGCACTGGGATCATGAGTGCCCTCAGAGAGCCTGGCAGCGCCGTTCCCCGCTTGCCTAACAGCAATCCCTTTGTATATGGCCAATCATATGTAATTTATTGCAAGCATTCCTGGCAGGGGGAAGTTTTGCTGTAAGCAGCATTAATTCAGTTTCAGGTCAGGGATAAGATTGGAGGAGGAATGGAAACTATGTTTTTTTTTTAAGATGAAGCTGTTCTGTGGTGCTCAGATTTTTAATTATTCTAATCACTCTTGTTATTGTAATGGTTGGAATTTAAAAAAAAAAAAAAAGCCAAAACCTCCCCAAGTGCAGCTCCTCAGTGTTTAATCCTACATGAGCCACACAGAGAGGTTTCCCTGCTCTGGGTTTCACACTCTGCTGCTCTTTCTGGCTCCTGCCTCCAGTTTTGGTTTGTTTTCCCCCGTTCAGCAGCTTGCTGATGAGAAAACCTGTATGCAGTTCTCCATCCGCCGTCCCAAGCTGCCCTCCTCAGAAACCCACCCCGAGGAGAACACGTACAGGCGCCTCGACGTGTCTGCCTGGCTCCATCACCTCAACGAATCCGGGCAGGTGGAAGAGGAGTACAAGCTGAAGAAGGTGAGAGGTTTTCGTCTGTTCTCTCCTGCTGCAGAGTGCAAGTCCCCAGGGGGAAGCTGCAGGAGTTTGTTTTCCTGCCAGGGGCAAGAACTGGGAGTGTGGAGACTGGTGTAGGAAGCCTTGGCTGGAGATCTTGCTGTGGGATTGGAGCAGATTCCAGCAGATTCCCACCTGGACGTGTTCCTGTGTCACCTGCTCCAGGTGACCCTGCCTCGGCAGGAGGGTTGGACTGGGTGGTCTCCAGAGGTCCTTTCCAACCCCAATTGTTCTGTGATTCTGTGATGGTGGAGCATCTCCCATCCATGACCAAGGACAAGGTGTCCCACTTCTGCTGCCGTTTGGAATCAATAAACCAAAGTGCCCAATGCCCACGGTGTTTGCAGAATGTGTGACCAAATCACAGAGAGAACTGGAGACTGCTGTGTGAGCTGAGATTGATGTATGAACTGGGCTTGATGTATGGACTGGGACTGATGTATGAACTGGGCTTGCTGTGTGAACTGGGATTGCTGCAGGAACTGCCACTTCTGTATGAAATAACGCAGGGGGAGCCCCGGGCCCGGGCTCTGAGAGAGAAGTTTGCAGTGCAGTGCGGTGTCTCCCGGACTGGGGATTAAGCCGTGACATGAGAACGACACGTTAATCATAGAGCCTCTCCGGGGGTGGTTATTGACATTGAAATGAGCCCGATTTGTGTCTGGTCTGGGAATAGAGGGCCAGCACTTTCCCTCTAAACATGTGCAAATTGCAGGAGCTTGAATCAAGGCGTCACTTGTCAGGAGAGAACTGCAGAGGCACCAAAGCACAGCAGCGGGCAGTTCCTTGTTGCTGTATTTGGGAATGTTAAAACTGTACCAGCCATAACTTTTGCTCTTTGTTCCAGGCCATTTTCTTTGGTGGGATTGATATTTCCATCCGTGGGGAGGTGTGGCCCTTTCTGCTGCACTACTACAGCTACGAGTCCACTTCTGAAGAGAGGGAGGCACTGAGGCTGCAGAAGAGGAAAGAATACTTTGAGATCCAGGAGAAAAGGTAACAGACCAGCATCACCCTCCCCTGCTCATCTTCCGCAGGCTGGACATCGCAGTGACACTGCTGGTGATGTGCAGTCTCTGCCTCCTTTGCATCAGGAGAAGCTGGAGTAAAGAAGTGAGAGGGACAGTGAAGGAGGTGCATTGGGCACTGCTGACCTCCTGAGGCTCTGGAACTAATAATAATTTGATAATAATAATTTGAACCATAGAGCTCCCTTGGGTTTTTGAAACAGGCTCGTCAGTACCACACAGGGAAACATCTCACAGGCAAGGCTTGAGTTAGAACACTGAAGGTGAAATTGGGATCTTATATTGCTTTATAAATAAAACTGTACATAAAAATAAGGAAGGAGAAGGGAGATCCAATTTAAGGAGGTTGTTACTGCAAGAACTATGTGTTGTTAAATAGCTGTGGGTACATTTAAGCTGGAGAGGGACAGTGGTGGTATTAATTAGGAGACAATCAAACCAGAGTGAGTTCAGGTGTGCCACCCCCAAGGAGCAGTGGAGAGCAGAGTCTGATGCTTCTGAGGTGTGTATCACAGCAAACACCTCATGTCATCCCGTTTATAACCCAGGAGGGTCCCTCTAGTAATCCCTCGGGACAGACAATCCGCTGTTCTGGACAGACCTGCTCCTCTGTTCTTCAGGTGCTGAGAAAACGCTGTACAGGAATAGTTTTTCTCTGCAAACTAAGACTGAAATGACTGAACTGGGGCTTTTTGTTCACTGTGGCAACCATATTCCTCTCTTGGCAATGGTCTCCTGTTGCTGCTCCACTTGCAGGCTGTCCATGACTCCGGATGAGCAGAAGGATTTCTGGCGTCAGGTGCAGTTCACGGTGGACAAGGATGTTGTGAGGACTGACCGCAGCAACCAGTTCTTCCGAGGGGAGGACAACCCCAACGTGGAAACCATGAGGTGAAGTGTCTGGTGCCAAACCCAAACGTGTCCTGCCGAGCATACGGACAACTCGGTCAGCCAGTCCTGGGCTGCCTGGGAATGCTGAACAGCACCCACTGTGCATCTGCTGACTGCAATCAAGGGATGCAACAATAAAGCCTTTCCAGTGCTTCTGTAGCCATTTCCTTCTCGGTCTAATAACCCTGCTCCCATCCCCAGCCTTCCCTGCACACACAGGGGTGCTGTGCAGGGCTGTGTGCAGGTGCCTGGCTCTGTGGTTCTCCTGATGGGATGGAGGATGAGCACACCCGGGTCTGCTCCAAGGGGTGGGACTTGTAAAAAGTGAGAGTCACAGTTATGTACAGTGTTAGTGTATCTTTGTTGTGCTTCCAGATACAGTTCTTTTAGGGAAAGTGGGATGCAACAAAAGGTGCTCAAAAGTTAATGTGTTAGATGTCAGAGGATCTGTGACTCTCCTGCACTGATCCTGGCTCAGCCTGCATGGTGAGAGTTGGGGTGAAGGGATGGGGCTGTGCTCAGCTGTCACCTGCCCTCACCTGTCCCACCTCCCTGTTTGTGTCTCTGCTCCAGGAGGATCTTGCTGAACTATGCAGTATTTAACCCAGCCACTGGATACTCCCAGGGCATGTCCGACCTGGTTGCTCCACTCCTGGCAGAGATCCTGGATGAGTCGGATACTTTCTGGTGCTTTGTTGGATTGATGCAGAACACGATCTTCATCAGCTCCCCCCGGGATGAGGACATGGAGAAGCAGCTGGTGAGGCTGAATGCTGGGATCCTCTTCTCTGTCAATCTCTTCTCCTCTCTCCAGTCACAAAAAGCAGTTCCCTGGGTTCCAGTATGCAAAGTCAAGCTCCAAAGCCACAAAATCCTTGGGCTGATCCTCAGGGTTGTCCTGTGCAGGGCCAGGAGTTGGACTTCGATAATCCTTGTGGGTCACTTCCAACACACAGTATTCTGGGATTCTATGATTCTATGGAAATAACTGATGCATAGAATTGCTCCTGGGTGACTGGGGACTCCCAGTGCAGTTATATCCATATTTCCTTGTGAAACAGCTGCTGTGGCCCATGAGCTCTGGCCTTTGGCGATAGACCCAAGCGTGCTCCTGGCTGTGCTGTACTAAACAGGCCACAGGGCTGGAGCTTTTCGGGAGGGAAGAAAACTCTCCAGCTCTGGCTCACAGCGTGGGGGTCCCTGGAGTGCCAAGGGGTGGTGAGGGGGGTACAAGTCCCCGTGCCCGAGGCGGGGCCTCAGCTCAAAGCGTCCTTTCCAGCTGTACCTGCGCGAGCTGCTGCGGCTCATGCACCCCCGCTTCTACCAGCACCTCTGTGCCCTGGGAGAGGATGGCCTGCAGATGCTCTTCTGTCACCGCTGGATCCTGCTCTGTTTCAAGCGGGAGTTCCCGGAGGCCGAGGCCCTGCGCATGTGGGAGGCGTGCTGGGCTCACTACCAGGTGAGGCAGCTGGCACGGGCAGGGCACGGTCCGTGCCCCTCAGCAGGCACTGCAGGGTTCCCATAAAGCCTCTTAGTAGCAAAGTAGCCAAAATAAATCAGTGTTACAGAGGGTCTGTAACTACAGAAGAACTATATCTGTGTAGCAGGAGGATGGAGCCCTGCTCCTGCCTCTCCTCCTTGGGGATGTCCGGGGTTCAAAATGAGGCGTTTCAGAAAGTACTGAACACCCACTTATGAAGTTCAGGCTTCTCTTACACAGCTGGGAAATGTCTTCCCAAAAATCACTGGTCTGCTCTGAACACTGTGGTGCAAACTTTGCTGCCATGCTGTGAAGAGAAGAGGCTTTGGCTCATCATGTGTGGTTCAGAATTCACCAGTAACTCACGTTCTCACCACTGGGCAGAACTGGAGAGAGCAAAAATTCTCACCAAGGACCCACTTGTGGAGGGTGGGAGGTGAAGCCAGAGCTCTGCCTCCACCTGCTGCACAGCAGCCCCTGTGTTCTCATTGCAGACAGACTATTTCCACCTCTTTATCTGCGTGGCCATCGTGGTGATTTACGGGGATGATGTCATTGAACAACAGCTGGCCACTGACCAGATGCTGCTGCATTTCAGCAACCTGGCCATGCACATGAACGGGGAGCTCGTACTCAGGAAGGTAAATACCCAGGGGCTGAGGCTCGGGTCCAGGGTGTTGAGGAAACCAGGGACTGATGCTTCAGCTTCTCATTGCCTGTATCCCTGTGCCTGGCTGGAGCCCAGGAGGGTGGGATGCTGCTCTTTGCCTGGAGGTGACAGTATGGTTGGGATAACCCTTGGCTGGGATAACCCGTGCCCATGGTCAGGGAAAGGGCAGACAGAACAGTTGGTCCTGCGGTCCCCATTCCATCCAGCTGGAGTGATGGGAGCTGTGGGATGAGCTGTGGTGTGTGGCAGCCCCTGCGACGTCCCACTGTCCCAGTTAACCCTGAGCTCTGTGTTCAGAGGGACACGCCTTTGCTGAAGCTCAGGTAGCCAAACAGGAGGATGGGAGAGGAAGCCATGGGCCACCTCAGCTCTCTCTGTTCATCCCCCAGTGAGGAGTGAATGTTTTCCCTCTCTCCCTGCCCTCTAGGCCAGGAGTCTGCTCTATCAGTTCCACCTGCTCCCCCGCATCCCCTGCAGCCTGCACGACCTCTGCAAGCTGTGTGGGACAGGGATGTGGGACAGTGGCTTCATCCCCGCCGTGGAGTGCTCTGGCCATCACCCCGAGTCCGAGAGCTGCCCGTACGGAGGGCTGGTGGAAGTGTCTTCTCCTAGACCAGGAAGTGAAGGCAAGAAAGGCCTGAAAACACGGGATGTCTTTGCCTTCCGAAAATAGCTGAGAGGAACAGGGTGTGACGGCGGGAGGGACGGGCAGGAAGGATGTGCATAGGAAAAAATGTTGAAGACAAAAATGGAGGAATAGCTTGTCAAGATTCCTGAGAAGACTGAAAGGTGAGGAATGGAAGAGGAATTAAATTGCTCTACAGGGGAAGCAAGTTCCAGTGCATGGATGGTGGAACCTGAGCAAAAGGCATCAACCCAGGAACTGTGTTGACACATGTTTGCATTTGGTTTTGTTAGAAACAAGCTTTTCTAGGTCTTAACAAGGACTTTTTATTCTGCCTCTGGGACTGGACTGGTTATCAACCAGAACTTTCTTACATGCTGATGAGAAAGGAGAGCACTGCAGAGAGCCAAGTGCACGGGCAGCGTTGGTGGGGCCGGGGCAGGGGCAGAGCTGGGCGAGGCACCCAGAGCTCACCGTGCACTCTCCGCTTCAACCAGCACGTGCAACACGGGGCTGCTCTCTAAAGCCATAGAGACCATTTTAATTATCATCTGCCAAAAATAAATCTGCAGACCAGTGGGATTGCAGGGAAGGTGTCTGCTTTGTCGGCGAGGAAGGACTGGTCAGCTCAAGGTCTTGTCTCTGGCCTTTTCTATGGGATATTCTGGCTGGTGTGATATTTTTTTTTTCATTTGTACAGAAATTGTACAGCCCCAGGTCTCACAGCACTGCTGCTCTGAGCTGGGGTATTTCACAGACACCGTCCAAAGTTTCTTCTTCACGACGTATTGGGTGTAAATCCTTCCCTGTGAGGGTGGGGAGGCCCTGGCACAGGTTGCCCAGAGAAGCTGTGGCTGCCCCATCCCTGGAAGTGTCCAAGGCCAGGTTGGACGGGGCTTGGAGCAACCTGGGCTGGTGGAAGGTGTCCCTGCCAGTGGCAGGGGGTGGAACTGGATGAGCTTTAAGGTCCCTTCCAAACCAAAAAATTGTGTGATTCTCTGATTCTATGACATTACAGCAAAGCTGTTCCTTTATGCTGACAACTACAGACTTTAGACACTTTAGTCTGTTGTTTCCAGTATGTTTCCCATTGTGTTTCCTTGGCTCTCCTCAATTACTGAATAGTTACTGTCCTTGCCTGTCGCTGCCACAGGCTGTGGCACATCCACTCCAATGTGGGCTTTAGGCTGTTCAGTTGGTGCCAGTGGTGCACCCTGTTCCCCATCCCAAAGTGAAAACAAAACTTGCCTTGTTGCAGCCATTTTTGCTGAGCTCTGTCTGGTGAAGGTTTCCCTTGGGGCATTTTTGAAAGGACAGCGTGTTTCTCCTCTTGTCTGCTATAAAATTTGCCAACCAGAAGTGGAGCTGGGGCTTTGAGCCCTGTTGCCAAAGGTCCTTACCAAATTCAGTAGCCTCCAAAGGTGTGTCCTGAGCCAGTGTTTGTGCCAAACAGAGCTAGGGGAACAGTTTCCTTGTAAGAATGAAAAAGGAGATGAGGTGACAGCAGCACTGGGGGTCTGCAGCCTTTCCTGGCTGTCCTGCTCCCTCTCACTTCCTCCACACTGCTTCCCACACAGCTGTCCTGGGCAGGCTGGGTCAGCTGTGCTCACTTCCAGCTCTGCCTCTCAGGCACATTTATACCCTCAGTAGCACTGGTGGAATCCCCTTGTCCTCGTGCAGTGCTGGGGGGGTTCCTGCACCTGACAAGCACATTTCTCTCCAAATCCTTCTGCAAGGCCTTACCCACATGCCCCGTTCCTGCTGGGAAGTGAGGCTGGAGCTGGGATGCTCCGTGTGAAGCCAGCACAAACCAAGGGCACACTGTGTTCCTAAGGGGAAGCAGCCTTGCCCCACTGCAGGCACCACACTGAGGGCTGGCTGTTGCGTGGCAGAAGGACAGTTTGGCTCCCACTTTGTGTGCCTTTAATTCAGAGGATGAAAACCTTCCCCCTGGATGAGAGCAATGGGGAAACCCACTGCAGGATGGCACAGCTCCAAAGTGAGCTGGGCTTTGGCAGGTGACACCTCCTGTATGGGCTGAGGCTGCTTTGCTCTGGGGCAGGGAGTTCGTTGAGATTTATGATGTTTCAGTGAATAATAAAGTTTGTGTGAGGCCTCTGTGTGTCCATTGCTGTGCAGGCTGGGAGCTGCACCTCACGGGCAGGGACAGCGCTTGGCCAGGCACCGTCTCCAGCTTGAGCTGCTCATTTTGGAGCCACTCAGGGACGTGGTGGGTGCTGGGGCTGCGTTGCTGCCCCCAGGCCCCGCTCATGTCAGCCTGGGGACGTGTGGCAGCACTGGATGGATCCATCCAGATGGGAGCTCAACGTGGCGGTGGCTGAATTCGGGTCAGAAGAACTGCACGGCAGAAAGTGCCAGAAGCATCTTCCTGCAGAGCAGCTTGGTGGCACCAGGACAGGTGCCAGCTCCCTGTGGGGACAGCAGGGGCCGGGCACTGCCTGCTGCCACCTGCCTCCTGGTGTGGGACGGGCATGGCCACGAGGCCTTCACAGCTCACCCGCAGTGCCAGGGCAGCCGGAGCTCACCAGGGGCACTGTGAGGAGCAGCAGCACGTGGGCAGCTCTGCCAGGTGTGGCATGCTGGGCACAGGGGGAGAACAGCCCCCTCCTCAGCTCGAGGGGTGCTGGGCATAGGGGGACACGGCCCCCTCCTGAGCTCCCCCCTGCCCACAGAGGGCTGGGAGGAACCAGCAAACCCCTCCCAGAAGAGCCGGAGCTGGTTTTGCTGCAGCACTCGTTCCCAGCCAGTAAAAGACAATAGGAAGAGATGAAGTAGATAATTTGGAGCATTATTTTTCCACTATTAAAATGTCATTCAGCAGTGTGGAAATCACTCAGGATTCGTTTAGTTAAAGACTCTGCACTGCAGTTTTCCAGCACGTGGAATAAGCTGCGTTCTGTTTGAAGTGGGGCTCAGCTCTGGCAGTGCATGGCTGGGATTGGTGTGTCAGCCTGAGCCAGCTCTCCTGTGCCTGCTGTTCCCTGAGGGTCCCACTGCCAGCAGAAGACTTCAGGTGTCTGTGCTCCCCATCGAAGCCTCCTGAACCCCTGGTACACACTGACCCCACTTCGCCACAGTCAGGGAAACAAAGGTCCCCAGCTGCTCCCAATGACCAGCAGTGCTCACATCCCGGTGACCCAATTCCAGCCTGTTCATTAGCTTGTGATGCCATTTAACTCTCATTGGAGATTCACAACCTTCTGAGCTTGTTTTGGGAGACAGGGGTCTGTGGAGCCAACTTGGAACTCTCTGGCAGCACCTGGGGTAGGGTCAGGAGCAACCGTGGGATTCCTCTGCAGTGAAAGGACAGTGGGTCTCCGAGGTCCTTCTGACCTATCCCCAAGATTTTCCCTTGTAACACTCTCTTTGCCATCTGAAAAAAACCCCAAGGAACAAAAAAGCAGCTGAGCTTGGTCCCTACAGAGGAGGAAAGTGGATCCTAGAAACAGTGACCCTCACGTGGCGTCTCCTCGGTCGCCGCCCTGAGCGTTGCATTAGCGGCAGCTGAGCAGCCAAAAATAGACCCTTGCGAAGGTAAATAGTCAGCGTAAGCCTCTTTAGCCTCAGCCTTGAGCTGACACATCCTCCTGCCTCCCGCTGCCGGGGGGAAGGGGAGCAGGGAGGAAAGAAAAGCGAGTCCTCGCTCCTGTGGTAACACTCCTGTGGTAACGCTCCGCTCTGTAATCCCAGCGGGAACCCAATCCCTGCACCGGGAACCGAGAGTGGAGCAGAGCCCTGCACAGCCAGACACCTCCGGGTGGAGACGGGGCTGTGCTCCCGTGGCCAGTCCCGGGGTGCCTGGGCTGCTGCTGAGCACGGGGGGAGAGGGCAGAACTGCCCCAGTCCATCCCGGGGCTGGGAGGGGGCACGGAGCCATCCCATATGTGGGCGAGCGGGAGGGGATCAATGGATCGGCTTCATTCGACCTTGGCATTGAGCACTGGCCACGCAGGTGGCAGTGATGTCCAGCCAAGTCACCCCTGGAGTTTGCTGCACCGGGGAAATCAGCACCTGTGAGCAGAGCATGGGCAGGTGGGGGGCTCAGCCCCGCTTCCTGGGGCTGGGTGTGTTTGGATGTGGCTGTTGGGCTGTTCTGTCGCATGACGCTGCCTGTCAAATGAAAAATTACAGTTCACAAGAACAAAGAGACTCACCTGAGTTATTACAAGCACCAAAGAATTTCAAACCACACGTAGCCTGTCCCCCTGGGCTGGCTGATTAATCCCTGGGTCGCTCTGCTTGGGTCACAAAAATAGACTAGTCGGGCCAGCCGGAGCTCACGGTCACATCCCGCCGCGGGCGCTGCCCGGCCCTGCCCGAGCGTGGCACTTTGGGCTCTGCATGCCCTTTATTTCCCTCATTTAAACACAAACACAGCGTGTGATGGGGTTTCACAGCACCTGGAAGGAAAACAGAGGCTGAGGCAGCCCCGGCAGAGCCCCAGTACACTGGATCTTTCCAAGTTCAGCAAGTTCAGGCCCTGCCAAAGGTCCTGCTCTGTGTGGCAAAGAAGTAGCAGGAGAAGGAGCAGCCTAAGGACTCTTCCTGGGATTTTTGATTTTGTTTGGCTTGAGTTTGTCTTTCAGAAACCACAAACAAGTTCAGCTGCTTCTGTCTGCGGCCGGGGCTCGACTCACCTTGGCAGTGGCAGAGGTGGCCGGGGAGGTGCTGGATGATGGGCATCTGCCAACATCCTCTCTGCTTTCCAGAGCTTTCTGCAGAGGAAACACAGGGCAGGGGGGGCCCTGGGATATGGCAAACACCCTGGTAGAGTGATCCCAACCCCCTGCATGACCCTGAGCCCTCGGCACCAGGCAGAGCCTGTGCTGTGAGTGAAGGCAGAGAGCCCTTTGGTTCTGCTTGTGCCAGGAAACAAGGGCACCCATCAAGAGGGCTGCCTGGCCCAAATCAGCGCTGGCAGCTGGGTCCTGGCTCCAGGAACCCAATTCCCACATATTGCAGGTGAGGGTGGGCACTGAAAAATTTCCAGCGGTGACTGGAAACCCTGGGAACACCCCAAAGAGCAGCTGGCCTTTAGACCCTCTGCCAAGGTGATAAATCTGCCCCAGTGCCAGCACAGCAGGAGCACTGGGAAGGTGCTGCTGGCTCTCTCTGGGGCTCAGGCACAGTGGGACAGGGGGTCCCAGCCCCTGGAGCAGCCCCACACCATGGGAGTCCCCAGCCCCGGCCAGGATGAGGTGCACCCCAGACAGGCTGGGGAAGGGGTGCCACGGAAGGGGTGCCACAGAAAGGGTGCAGGAGAGCCGGGTGTGGAGCAGCTTCCCCAGGCTGAAAGACACCGTGTACCCTCCTCCACGTCTGTGGGGACAGGGTCAGGTCTGGCTGCCACAGCCAGAGGGTCACAGCTGCCCTGACACAAGCTCCACGGAGGCCGTGCTCAGGCTGGCAGGAAAGGGTTAAGGTGCTGCCAGAGCGGGAATGAGAGCAGGGAATTCAGCTGCTGACGCAGGTAGGATCTGCCACGAGCATCCCAGTGCAGACACAGCAGCGTCACCCTCAGCTCCTGAGCTGCTTTGGAGCCCCCCACTCCACGAGTGACAGACCCACCCAAACACAGAGAGCAGACCGGGGCCACCCCCCATGGCACTGCCAGGGTCATCTCAGGGTGCCCACCCCACTCCTTGCTGCCACAAACAT